TCATGCTGATTTTGTTCGTCATATATTGCAACATACAAAGGTATAATTTAATAATTTTAATATTAGATTTATAATTTTTTTAAAGATTTTTCTTTATATTGTATTTGTTTTCTACTATAGATTTTTTAATTTCTTAAGCTTAATAAATTCCATTTTTAATTAAATATTTACAATAAAATTTTCCAATTATAGAGTTTATAGAATTTATATATATTATTAAAGAAATAATTTTAAGAAAAATAGCTATAATAATATTACATCAAAGGTGAATTTTAAATAAATTAAAAAAATTTAATATTGGACCAAGCAGTAGGCTGAAGCACTTGGTATAAAGAGATTAGTGGTATTTAATTTTGATGTATTTCTATTTTTTATCTTGTAATTTGTTTTTATTCTGCATTTTACTACCAATAAAGAAATGTGTTTACACTCGTAAAAAAAAAAAAAAAAAAAAAAATATTTAATATTGATGCCTTAAAAATTTAATAATAAATAATGGATTTTATATTAAAATAACAATCATTTATCAAATTACATGTAAATTAACTTTGTATAACAAATTTATTTTGTTAAAATAATTTAAGGAATAAAATTTAAAATATATTTTATTGCTTTACAAATATTATTTGAATTTGTTTATCACTTTCAGGATATCTTAATTATTTTTATCATCTTTCTCAAAATGCACGGTTTTACTCAAAAAAAAAAGGAGGGAAGTGTGGTGCCATCGGCTTTCAAGTATCTAATCATTTATGGCATTTTACGCCGATTTATAACAAGTTATGGTTAGATATGATTGAAATCATAATCATAATGATGTTATTTCTTCAAAGTGATAGAAACCAAAACATAGCTAGATGAATTTATGATAATGCAATTTTTGCACAGTATTCATAACGTTTTCTTATTGTCAATGTCGTTATTCATACAAGAAATCGTACATATAACATTTCGCGAGGGTTAAAGTACATGCACTTACATAAGTAGGCTTATTTAATGTAACATTAAGTTTGTTTTCGATGCACTGCTATATTAAATTTGTTTCATAAGATAATATTAAGGCTGGTTAAAAGGCAATGTCTTCGTAAACGAGGCATCTTATGAATATCAGATAGATGTACAAAGTTTAATAATTTATTTTATTACATTATCAATATGAATGAATGAACTTAACCAAATCAAAAATTCGAAATTGGAAATAATTTCTGCGCGTTCATTCAAAAATTATGCGATATTATTTATGATCACCTCCTTACTTACATATAACATATATAACGAACAAAATAAAATGTAATGTACTGTAAGCATAGGTTGTGTGCGTTATCATTTTTAGATAAAAATTTCCTCATAACACATTGAATTCCATATGATAAATTTCAAAAAGAAAAAAAAAAAAATTTTTTTTTTTTTTTGTTACTAATTAGACCTTATTGAAAAAAGTATACACAGACCTAAAATTTACAGAATTACGGCAACGTTTGCATAAGAAATTGATGAATTCAGGTGATAAATATTATTGACTAAACTAATTGAATGATGCATCATATTAGTGGTCGTTTTTCAAAGAGAATCGCGCTATATTTTTTTACGCCAAAGAAGTATTACTTGCTTACCGTACATTACATTGACTCCTTCAACCAAAAACGCATCAATCGTATTTTATATTCAAGATTTTAAACAGGTTTACAATTTATAAACTAGTTCTTTTATGGTCATTCCTCGTTTTATTTAAACTGTTTTGGAAATATATATGCAACACTTTCAACTCCGACACTCATAAAAATCACGCGCAAAGTAATATAATATATTATATGTAATACATCTGGTTTATATGATTTTTTTTTTTTTTTAAAAAAAAAAAATCTATCAATACTTTGTAACTATAATTAATTTAGGACCATTTCATGCTATAGTCTAGATTAAATAATAGGGTTACATGAAAGTGTTCGTTGTTCTTGCATTTGGTCACATTTGCATAACTTCTTGCACTTGCATGGATTAGATCGAAAAAACTCATTGTTGTCGACTACTATAAACCTCGTTTCAATCTTTACTTCGCTTCATTATTAATAATGATGAATGAAAAGATATAGATAGTTACATCTTTACTCAGGTATAACTCAGTGTATTTTATTAGAAAATATTGATTTGGATGTTTCATTGTTAAAAGAGATGATGTTTCAAAGTATGTAAATTACTTGGAACTAAAGGATTAGGATTAATTAGGGCTGATATTATTATAAGAATATCACCAATTATTAACAATTGATAAAATTTCTGATCGAACCATTTTTTTTTTCATATGATACATTAAAAACATCAACTTAATATCATGTGACTTTAAATGTAATAAATCGAAATCTTATGTCAAAGATTTTAAAAAAAATTTTCATTGGTTCTGTTTAAGAAAATTCCGAATATTAGATTCTAAATTATGAAACATAAAGTTATATTTATATATACTATACATACATCATATAAACTTTACTGTATGTTGTATTTGTTGTATAACCGATTAAAAACTTTAAAACTTATTTTTACTAATTAATTTTTTTTAAAAAAATAATTAATAATATAGATATTTTAAGATAACATGTATGATTAAAAATGTTGTTAATTTTTTATTTATTAAATTTTTTTTATTTAAAAAATTTATCCGTCAAAAAACTTTGTTAAATTTTTAATTATTAATAAACCAATCATAAAATATTTAAAATATGAATATACTTTATCATACTTTGTTATGCATGAAAAATTAAAGAGATTTATAATTTTTATAATTTTATTAATCATTGAAAAAAATTATTATCAATTACTAAATCAATTTAACTAAGTCGATTATATAATAATATAAACTTTGATAATTAATAATGCCGGTTATTACCGACATGCGATACGACGGACTTTAACGTTTGACTCTTCTTGAATCAAAAAAAAAAAAAAAAAAAATTTATTTTCCAATTTGTGATATCAGATATGGCGATAAAGGCTTCTTATCCAATTGTATATAAAAAAAAAGTTGAACCGAGTATTTCTGAATGGCTGAATGTCTTTTTAAGAAAAAGAAGCTGAGTGGTTAATATGTTAGGAAGGATAGGCATCAATCATTAGAAACCTACTTACTAAATTGATCTTTTTTAGTAATACTATATAATTAAGGATAAGCGAATTAAACTTAAATGAACCGCTAAAACTCTTGTGGTACTTCCAGAGGTCAAAATTTCAATTTCCATTATCCGCAAATTTACCGCTATCGTATAATAAGTTATTCCATAATTTCATCATTGCATAACTATTCGTTCATAACGCCTCAACTCGCCCCAATTACCACTTAAACCGTTTACATCCATCGCCACAATGCCACAGTGGCTTTTAAACATAATGTACGGGAATGCAATCCTGAACCTGGCATAGCAGAAGGTTATAATAGATTCATTAACTGCGATTATAAATATTCTTTCATAGAATATTGTACTTTATATAAGTCCTTTTTCTAGCAAACAAATAATTTCCATTATGCATTTATATACTGCTGCATCTTTGGTGCTTTTTTTAGTAAATCGAATCATAAATCCGGAAAAAAAAAGTCCTGAGAAATTTTCTGAAAAATGATTACAAAAAAAACCTTATTTTCAATTATTATAAATATTACGTATACATATATATAACTCGCAGAACCACGCGTATAAACTTTAAAAAAAAAAAAAAATTTACATAAATACCAACATTTTTATAAAGAAGTATCGTATTATGTGGTTATGTATAATGTATTTAACATGCAAGCCACGTGTGAAATTTTCGGTACAATTAGATGCGCATAATTGTTACAAGAAAGCCGAAAATTGTTCGAAATAATATTATTTAGATGATTTGGGAATATTAAACCTTTAAATGGGCGTAAAGAAAATTTTTTTTTTCCATTTTTTTTTTCTTATAAGCGAGTGAATGTACCAATGCATTATTATTATACTTGTGATACTGCATAAGATAAAGATTATTGGTTTTTTTTCGAATGAATCGAAAATTGATTATAATGATAAACAGATAATGAAAAAAAAAAGAGATTCTTTAAAAAAAAAAAATATTATTTGTTATTTGTTATGAACAATCTGTAGTTTTTATATTATTAATGTAAATCCACTAACTTATCATCCTGTATGAATCCTTTTAAAGATATTAAATAAATAAATTATCAAGTTTCTTTAAATTGAAACAATAAAGTTCATAACCTGTTTAATAACTATTGTTTATACAGGTTATTTAATGAATCACGTGATCGATAATAAATTTAATCGATTTCTTATTGAAACATCATTATTCCGATCTCATCAAAATTATCATCATTAGAAAAAAAAATATTTTTCATACATAATCTTGTATCATCATGTATAACAAACATTGTAATATATATAGTGGCTTTTTAAATGAATTAATCCGGCTGGGATTATAACATAAGCATGTGATATAAACAATCTTTTTTTCCGTTCAATTTTTCTCGTCATTACGATATATTATTTGTCATTCAGATCTTAACGATTTACGTAACAAATTATTTACTATTCAACGTACGACAATTGTTATCACACTTAAAATACATTATACTTTATGTGATAGACACATGGGATGAAAGTCGATTAATTAGTAATATTCCGCTAGCGTGATCTTGTAGATGCCTGGACTTTATATATGTCATACTAAAGTTACATTATGTTATGCATGTAGTATAATTATAAGTCAGATATGATTGTCATGGTCCAAGCTTAGTAACGTAATCAATCACCAGTAATAAATCATTGCGATGAAAATTATAATAAACCATTGAGTAGTAGACTATCATCAAATAACCGTGATGGAGAAGATTTTCTAATCAAAAGATGAAGTAATGGCAGATAATAAAATATATGATGAAAACGAAATGTATAGAATGATTAGGGTTACTTCAAAAATTATTATGATCAAATAGTATTACTTGATCAGTACCCGGTACTAAACTCATAAAAATTGATACTATTCAATAAAAATCAAACTTTATTATTTCATTATTAATTATCTATATTATAAATTTCAATATATTGATTCTCTTTAATTCTAAATGAATATACCAGCATTTTCCCGAATGTAGCATTCTATTGCACGAGAATTAAAGGTTATAATATTTTTAATTGGATTATATGCAAAGATATTGGTTTCCAAGACCTTATTAGCTTCCTCAGGATTATTAAATAATTTACTATATGTCAAATAGTCAAGCATCCCGTTAGAATTTAAAGTCTTGATTATATGCTTTCCTGCTTCATGATTTGGTTGATTTTTATGTAGTTTCGCAATGTTAAATTCATTATCAATTTCGATGAATTTTTGTTGTTTAATTTCTGCAAGAAAAAAAAAATTCAATAAAAAGAAGAATTGTATAAAATTTATTTAATGTAAAATATTAAATAACTTTACCTTCGGAGGACTGTTTCAAATTAAGAAATTCATCTGCTACAGCTTCCAGGTCCATAATACATCCACCAACTAATTCATATAATTTTTCTGCTTCTGTAATATCGATCTTGCCTTCTTTCATGGTTTTAATTCCACGTTTATTAACTAAATAATTTATTGATTCTTCTTTGCTAAGATTATTGATTTCTACTACTGGTTTACTTACACGTGTCCAAGCATTAGTACGTGCTAGAAATAAAATCAATAATTTATAAGTAAAATATATTTTAATATAGAAACTGAAAATTTTCATTGGCACTTACATTTCATTCTTTTAAGAGCACTGGTTTTATTACTAACAAATACAGCAATGTATTTCATATCATCAGCATTATCTTTAGCATCTTCTTGAAGAATATCAAGAACTTCTGCATGTTTTGGAACTAATCGATCAACATTATCATAAATAATAACTGGAGGGGTACCATGCTTCATTTTGTATCTTTTAGCACCATTTTTAAATGCTTCTAAATTATCTTCCCACTTAATCACAGTCTTACTATTAGTTTTAAAATATAAAATCTTTTGTGCTATTTGTTTTAATAAACTTCCAGATGGTAAAATCTTAAAATTTTTCAAAGCTTTATTAAAAGTTTCATCTAATTTATTTAAATTTGTAGGAATATTAATATATATAACACCTTGTCCATCTTCTTTTAATGCTGCTTTAATTAATGTTGTTTTTCCAGTTCCACGTTCACCACAAATAACATGATAAAGTGATTGATTTTTATAAGGCTTAAAAATTCTTTTAAAATGTTCTACAATTTCAGGTTGAGAAATATATTGTAAAGAAGAAATATTTACTTCAGGTTGAGTGCCTTTTTCAATAACTTTACTAAAATAATATTTATCAAATTTATCTTGATATAAAGTATAAAATATATCTGCTAATACAAAACCACCAATACTAATTTTTATAGGAATCTATAAATAATAAAAATTTATTTTAAAATTTTAATGAAATAAAAAAAAAAGATAAATAAACAAAATAAATTCATACCAAAAGTTGTCTTGCAGTAAATTTTTTTTGAAAAGATGGTAAAAAAAATCTAAATAATACATTTTTATAAAAATGATGATTTATAATATTAAAAGACATTTTTACTATTAGTTAAGTAAAAAAATTCAATAAAAAAAAAAATATTTACAAAGTTTTACTTTTTATTTATTATAATAAAATTCTAACCATTTTTAAATAAGTTATGAGTCACATTTTAATATATTTTTATGATTTATAATATTAAAAGTCGTTTTTATTATTAGTTAGTAAGTAAAAAATTCAATAAAAAATTATTATTATAATAGAATTCTAATTATTTTTAAATAAGTTACTTGCTAAAACCTAGGGGTTTAGGCAAGATGGCGTTTCACCGAAAAGCGAAATTCTGCCAAAACTATATTAAAGTTATATTAAAAAACTGGCGAAACTTTTGAGAAAGGTGAAACTGCCAAAACTTATTATAAATGCCGAAACTGCTGAAACTCTGCCGAAACTATAATAAATCTATAGTAAAATTTTGACAAAACTAATCGTAGGATTTTAAAGAGGTTTAGACAAGCAACCTTAGTTATAAGCTACACTTTTAACAAATTAATCCATTTTTTTATGTTATTTATTTGAATAATCTAATTTACAATTTAAAAAAAAAGTTCATTAAAATTAGATTACTAGATATTAAAAAATTTAAAAAAAATTTTTGAATTTAATAAAAAGGATTACTAGTTTAAAATTTTAATTGTAATATTAAAAATTAAAATTTGCAGTAATGTTTTTGTTAGGATATATTATTATGTGATAAATTTTTATATAAATTTTTATAATATTAATATATATAGTACTTTTTATTAATAGAATTTTATTTATAATCAATTGTATATAATTAATATTATATTTATAATTATTGTGATATATATGACTAATATACAACATTTATATTGTTTAGTATTTTGTTTAATTATGCAAAATATATTTTATTTAATTACTTTTTAGAAAACTACTATATAGCTTTACTTTTAGTTAGTTTATTTTTATTATTTCTTTTATTGTATTTTGTTTAATCGTAAATATTTCTGATAAATTTAATAAAGATAAAAATGCTATGACATGTTTGCTCAAAATATATTTTATCAGTACTAATTAATTAAAATTTTAATTTTTACAAATTATATAAAATATTATTTATTTTTTTTTAAGAAAAAAAAAGCCATTTAATTATTGTACTATAAAATTAAATTTGTTAGTTTTAATTAATTTTATTATTTAATATTTATAAAAAAAATAAATTTAATATAAAATATTTACCTTTAAAAGATTCTTTAATAAAAAGAAATTTATCTGCTATATTTTTTAAATTCATAATATGACCACCAACTAATTTATATAAATTTTCTGCATCTGTAATATTAATTCCACGTTTATTAACTAAATAATTCATTGATTCTTCTTTATTAAGATTATCAATTTCTTCTATTGATTGATAATAATGATAATGTTTATAAACTAAAAATCATAAAAGTATTAATATATATATAAATATTTTTAATTAAAAAAAAATTAAAATACTTACGTGAACTTAATTTTTTAAGAGTATTATTATTATTGCAAACAAATATAGAAATATATTTTTCTATTTTAGCATTACTAATAGCACGACTTTGAAAAGTACTAAGAATTTTTAAATCTTCTGTAACTAATTGATCAGCATTATTATAAATGATAATTAAAGGTTTATTATATTTTTTCTTATATATTTCAGCACTTTCTTCAAGAATTTCTAAACTTTTTATCCAATTAAAAAATTTAAATTCTTTTATAAAAAAAAAAAATCAAAAATTATTTAATATTAATTTTAAAAATAATAAAATATTAATAAAAAAACTTACCAAAATTTTTATTAAAAATTTTTTGTAATATATATTTTGTTAAAATAAATCCATGAAATTTAAAATTAAAAGCTTTTTCAAAAGCTTCATTTAATTTATTTAAATTTGTAGGAATATCAACATATATAACTCCTTGATCAATTTCTTTTAATATAGTTTTAATTAATGTTGTTTTTCCAATTCCATAATTACCATATATAACATAATATTCTGAAAAAGGCTTCTTAAAAATTTTTTTAAGTTCTTCAGTAATTTCAGGTCGAGGAATATAATGTAAAGGTAAAATATTTATTTCAGGTTGAACACCTTTTGTTACAGTTTTAATAAGTTGATGCTTATTATAAAATTGATCTGAATATAAAGTATAAAAAATATCTATTGTTAAAAGACCACCCAAACAATGCAAACTATTTGTCAAAAAATTTGATTTTTTTTGAAAAAAAGATGAAGAGTATGTAAAGTTTGTAAATGGTCTAAATGATTTAAATGAATTTAAATGAAGATTTGAACTTTTTAATGCAAATTTCAATGGTTGAAAAAACATGATTTTAATATTTTTATAAAAATAAGAAATTATATTTACAAAATTTTATTTCTTTTATATATTTTTATTAATTATATAATTACATCATAATTGTAAACATACAATAATATTCTTATTTGAATATATTATATTTTTTTGACTTACTAATATTAACTAAACCAAAAAAAATCAAAAAATTTTTAATATGATTCAAAATGATAAAAAAAGATTCAAAATATATTTTACTAAAATTTGAATTATAACTTTTAATATGTATATTAAATAATTAAGAAAAAAAGACTTTTAACTTAGCATATTATTTACATTACAGAAACAGGTTAAATTGTGGCTTTGTGGCCACTACACATCTACTATATATATATTAAAAAGTAGTAGGCGTACCGCTATTTTATAGTAAATATGGTGTGGCGATGCAGTACTTCCATAGCTAGTATATAGAAAATTAGTATAAATGTAAATTTACCATAATGTATACATGTAGTAGCGATGTAACAAATTAAAGTAAAAGTATGGTAATTATAAGTTCTAATAAAAGTAATTGTGTAGTAAATATAACTTTTATTTGTAGTAATTATGTAGTAAAATATAATACATTTACGGTAAACATATAGTACATTTGTGGTAAACATATATTTCATTTGTAGTAAAATATAATACATTTACGGTAAACATATATTACATTTGTAGTAAGCATATAGTACATTTACGGTAAGCATATATTACATTGTAGTAAGCATATAGTACATTTACGGTAAGCATATATTACATTTGTAGTAAGCATATAGTACATTTACGGTAAACATATAGTACATTTATGGTAAATAATACTCAATTATAATTTTATCCTCAAATATTAGTTCCGGACAATTCAAGTTGAAGTTCGTTGTCCAAGTGTTGAATTCCTATAATACAAAGAAATAAATGTCAATTAACATTTCTTTCACCTGTTTAAAAAATCAAATCGCTCATTCCCTTATTCAATATACCTTTAGGCCGATTTCAACATCCAAGAGGTAATCCTACAAAATAAAGAAATTGGTTAAGTTCTATAAGAATTTACAAGAAGTTAAAGTGGAAGACCTACAAAGCAAAATTCAAGCAATCAATCAAGTCCAAAGAAGCAAAAATTCCAGTTCAATCCAAGTAACCGAATCCAAAAAAAAGACGCGTAATAAAGTTCATTAAAAATCTTAGTAAAAAATTCAAAGAAGCACCAACTGAATCTCACATGCCCAAGAAACCAAAGAAACATCTATAAAGAAAAAAAAAAAGAACTGTTAGTAACAGTTCATTAAATAAATGAATTAAAACTCCCAAAATCTACATACAAAAATCAAAGAAGCCGCCAACTACGAAAACTCACTGAATCAAAAAAATTTGTCGTTCCAAATTCCAATCAAAAAAATCCATGCTCGGACATCTAAAAAAAGGAAGACGCTTTCAAAGATCCGAAGTATAAGCCGTCTAAAAAAGGGAAAACAAAACATTAGTACTGTTCCATTAAAAAAAAAAGAAATCATAAAGGTTAGTCCCTACCGAAATTCCACGCGTTCTTTAGCCATGATCTGACTAAAAATGAAAAAGATGAAATGTTAGATTCGTCAAAACTAACAAAATTAAAAAAAGCTTCTGATTTCTCACCAAGAAATCCTAGCATCCCAACTAAAAAAAAGAAAAAGATGAAAGTTAGAAAGTGTTTCATTAAAATAAATAATATTTAAGTATATTTCAACTCACCTGAAATTTACGTTTCAGACGCGTTTACGAAAAATCTTTGATTTACTACCGAATTTACACATCCAGGCTCATCTAAATAAAAAAGAAAAGAACGAAATGTTAGAAACATTTCGTTAAATAAATAAAATTAAAAAACATATTCATTTTGCTACCAAAATCTGCATTCTAAACCCGTCAAAGAGAACTTCCAAAATTTAACAAAATTCGTACGTCAAGGCCCATCTAAAAAAAGAATTAAATTCGAAATGTTAAATATAATTTCCGTTACAATAATAAACTAAAACAGAGAAAAAAAAATCTTACTGAAAGCAAAATTCTGTGCGTCCAAGATCCCGAAGTACTTGCTGTCTAAGAAAAATGAAAGGACAAAAAGTTAGTAAGCGTTTCGTAAAAAGATTCATTTAAAAAATATCCATTTAAAATCTCACCTTACGCATCCCAAAAAGTCACCTAAAAAATGAATTAAATTTGAAAATAAATATAGTCCCGATTTCCTTTCCCATGCGACCAGGCCCGTCTAAAAAAAAGACAAAGTTTGAAACGTTAAACATACGTTTCGTTAAAATAATAGACTATAACAGAGAAAAAAAACTTACCGAAAACAACATCCCGTGCAACCAAAGAGATCTGAAGAATTGCCTGAAAAAGAAAAAAATGAACTGTGAGTAACTGTTCGTTAAATAAATTAAAGAAAAAAAAAATTTTTTTTCTAAAACTTACGAAATGTCGCATAGGAGACCAAAGGAACCGCCTAAAAAAAGAAAAACATTGAAATGTTATAATGTTTCATTATCGTTATAGAATTTGATTTTTTTTGTGGTTCTCTTCAACACTTTTTTAAATAAAACATGATAAAAGATGGAAAGGACGGGGAAAAAAAATTGAAATTTAACTTATTATAAAAAAAAATTAAAATATGATGGTTAAAAAACTGTAAAAAAAAAATTTTTTTTTAAATTAACTTTTAACGGAAAAAAAAATTATAGACAGTTTTTTAACATAGAAAATTTTTTTTTTAAAAAAAAATAAGATATAAAATAATGAAGAGGAGAAGGAACGAAGAGAAAAATGAAGGAAAGAAATGGGAGAATGAAAGGTAAAGAGCGAAAGGGGATGATTAGTTTCGTTGATAAAAAAGTTTAAAAAAGTTAGACTGATCAAACTGCGGGTAGTATATTACGTGATACTAATTACCGCTACGGACTGCGGTATAGCAAAAAAAATTAAGCTTTTTTTAGCAAAGCTTAATTTTTTTTTGCTTCGTTCTCCCCTTCCCTTTCGTTTCCCATTACCTTTTCGTCCCATTTTCCCCTTTACTTTCCCCTTTCACTTTCCATTTAAAAAAAAATCAATTTAATATAATTAGGTATATTTATACGGGTGAAGCTGATTTATGTAAGAAATCTGGAGAAGATATTTTTGGAGTTTTGATCACATCAGCTGAATTTCTTCTCGAAAAATTATTTAATTATGTTTAAGATCATTTAATTAAAAAACAGACGATTTGGATAAAACAAAATTTCGCTTATGTTTTTTATACAACTTTTAAACTTAAAAATTGCGAAAAATTGCAGGATTATTGTATGGAATGTATGAGTGAAGATTCACAATTATTTACTTCAAAAAATTTTCCATCACTTGAAGAAGATATTCTTTATAACTTACTTAAACGAGACGACTTGCAGATCGAAGAAATTGTTGCTTGGGATTTTTTAATTAATTGGGGTATTGAACAAATTTCTGGTTTGGGAAGCGATAGAACAGAATGGAGTGAAGATGATTACGAAGCATTAAAGGGAACTATAAGTCAATTTATTCCTCTTATTCGGTTTATGGATATTTCTCTCGCAGATTTTTACGATAAAGTTCATCCTTATAAAGCTGCTATTCCTCTCCATATTTAAAGAATTCTATTATAAAAAAACTTTGTCAAAACCCGAAATCTTACCGCCACGAATTGGAAAACTAAAAATCGAATCAAATCTTATAAATTCAAAACTAGCTAATATAATTGCTAGTTGGATCGATAAAAANAAAAAATCAACAGAAATTTACGGAGGGTATAATCCAATTGGATTTACAAATTCTAATAGAAAATACCCTGCAAGTGATAGTTTTATATTTTCTTTCGAAAATGGTGAAGATATTCAAAATATGAAAATAAGTCGTGTGAATTAACTTTCTTTAACGAAACGTCAAAAAACGTTTCAAAAATAATTTTTTTTTCATATTTTTTTAATCGGAACGTTGGCTAACGTTCCAATTTTTTTTATTTTTTCATTCTTTAACGAAACGTTTTTTAACGTTTCGAAACATTCTTTTTTTTTTCTTTTTAATCGGAACGTTAGCTACCGTTCCGATTTTTTATTTTATTTCATTTTTTAACGAAACGTTAAAAAACATTTCATTTTTTTTTAAATTTTTTTGTTTGTTTTACGAAACGTATCTAACGTTTCGTTTTTTTTATTTTTTTTAGGACTGCGGCTTTCTGGACAGCTCACGGACGGGAATTTTGAAGGTAAACCTTCAAAATTGTTTTAACTTTGTTTTTAACAAAACGTGACTAACGTTTCGTTTTTTTATTTTTTTTAGGTCTGGATGATTCACGGACGGAATTTCGAAGGTAAACGAAATTCCTAAATTAATTTTTTTTTAATTTATTTTAACGAAACATGACTAACGTTTCTTTTTTTATTTTTGTAGGTCTACGGGTTCCCGGGTAAAATGGTGAGTTTCGCAACGTCCGTTGCGAAACTTTAAATTTTTTTTATTGTTGAAGAAACGTGACTAACATTTCTTTCTTTCTCTTTTTGTAGGTATCAGACTTCAGGGTAGTAGAATAGTAAGTTTCGCAACAGATGTTGCGAAACTTTATTTTCTTTAATTTTTTCTTTAAGAAACGTTCTAACCGAACGTTTCTCTTATTTTTTTTGTGTTCGATTTCCGGATTTGGAATTTTGGAAAACGGTAAGTTTCGTACATTTTGTTCTGTCTCTTATACACATCTAGATGTGTATAAGAGACAGTTTTTAGGTTTCGGGAAATTTAAGAAGAGGGACTTTAAACGGTAAGTTTCGTAAGAAACTTTATTTTCTTTAATTTTTTCTTTAAGAAACGTTCTAACCGAACGTTTCTCTTATTTTTTTTGTAGGTTCAGTCAACTTCGAGATTTAGAGTTTTGGAAAACGGTAAGTTTCGTACGTTTCATTATGAAACTTCCATTTTTTTTTTTTTTTTTTCTTTAAGAAACGTTCTAACCGAACGTTTCTTTTATTTTTTGTAGGTTCGATTTCCGGATTTGGAATTTTGGAAAACGGTAAGTTTTTTTTTAATTCTTTCTTTAAGAAACGTTTAACTAAACGTTTCATTTCTTTTTTTGCAGGTTTGGTTCTGTCTCTTATACACATCTAGATGTGTATAAGAGACAGATATAACATCCAGTGACAAGTATAATTTTGATCTTCTTTATCGTGGTAGCGAGGATGGAATTAATTCGAAGTCATTTCGTGTTAAATGTAATTATCGAGGTTCTTGCTTGGTATTAGTTAAAAAAAAAATCAACAGAAATTTACGGAGGGTATAATCCCTGTCTCTTATACACATCTAGATGTGTATAAGAGACAGGTATTCTGAATTTTGATTTTTTTTTATTGTTTTTTATTATTATGAACGGTTTCTAACCGTTCTTTTCTTTGATTTTTATAGGATCGGGTGGATTTCCGACGAACGGAAAAAGAGAACCAAGATTCGTATTACGAATCTTGGTTTTATTTTTTATTTTTTTTTTTAAAAAATACTATGAACAGTTACTAATAACTGTTCTTTTCTTTTTTATAGGTTCGGGTGATTTCTGACTAATGGATGAACCAAGATTCATAAGGTACGAATATGAATCTTGGTTTTATTATTTATTTTTTTTTATTATTATGGAACGGTTTGCTAACCATTCCTTTTATTTTTTTTTATAGGGTTTGAGTATAGAAACGGTATTTTCGTAAATTTCACGAAATTACTGTATTTTTTTTTATTTGATTGCATTCCCACCTTGTTATGGTTGTATCACCAGGGCGCTATGTCAACGGAAATTTAGTACGTTGATCGCTTAAAAATCCGCGGCAATCCAATTATAACAAGAGGAATTAATTTTTTGATAAATAAATTTACAATATTTTACAATTAAATTAATTAAATTTTAAAATATATATGTTAATAATATCAGATATACAATGTTAATAAATACCTTTATACGCCTGTTTAAAACTTCCTGATGATAATATTACAATAAACTGAATTAATCTTTTATTGATTGATTTAAATTTGCATTTTAATTATTTTAATTAATTTTAAAAAATTATTCAATTGAATTTATTAGCAATTCTAATACTTATTTTTTAATAATTATAGTTTGATCGTATAATTTTTTAGAATTATTAGATAAAAATACATTATAATAAAAATTAAAGAAAATATTGCACTATAAAAAATATATAAAAAAAATCATTAAAATTCTTTATAGCATCTATATAGCTGATGTGTAGTAATGAGAAAGAAACTGAATAGTCAAAACGAAAAATTGCCGCTAGCACGTGATCATATAGTCATATGATGGTAACATACAAGCGGCGTTAAAGTCGCCAAATCGGAAGTTTCAGCAATGTATGGAATAACCTTTTAATAAAGGATGTAAAGGTTAAAACTTTTCTAATGCCATTTCATCATGATTTTTTTAACTTTGAAGACTTCTTTCAGAATTTATTACATTTAGATAAAATATATTATTGATTTGTGCTTTTAATGCAAACAGTGTTTTTAATTGTCTGAAATCTATAACTTTCTCAGGTTTGTGCATGCAACCTTGATATTATTAATTAAGGAAAGAACCGAATAGATAAATATCACATGACCAAATTTGGGGGCCTGTTAAAGCGGGGTAGAATCACGTGATTTAAAATTATTATGATTTGACAAATTTTTTATAAACTAAAATTAAAGTGAACTTGAAAATCATTAAATAAGTGTATTTCGGCCTGCTCCACAAGTTTACTTAGGGAGAAAAAGTGGAAAAAGAACAATGTTTTTGACTTTACATATGAGCAAACGAATTTTGCTGATCATACCCAAAAAAGGATAGATCAATTTTAACGAAATTGAAAAAGTTGAATAAATCGAAAACGGTGTTCTAAACCTCATTTTGTGCTCTAAGTAAACTTGCAGAACAGGTCAAAATGCACTTAGTATATGTTTATTTGGAAGGTTTTATATATAATAAAGAGTTTTATTTAAAAAAAAGAAAAATTTCGAAAGTCACGTGATTCTACCCTGCTTTAACGGTCCCCCAAATTTGGAAGTTCGCATGCTGAAATTAAACCTTCACGTATATCCAATGGACATGCTTTATTTATGCCGAAATGTCATTTTCTGCTAACAAAATTTTTGCAATATATGGGTTAAAGAGCTGTCCGTAATTTTACTGACAGTTTCTCGTTGGAAAAACAGAAAGAAAAACTCAAGTCAGCAAAACAGAAAAAGTTGCGTTTTATTTAAATGTGGATATATTCAAAAGTTTGAATCATAAAAACCGCATAACCCATTTTTTGAGACCAGCGGCCTCACGAAATTAGGTACACGGAGAAAATTTTTATTATTCATGTATATTATCAGCATATACATTGATAATTAGCATATGAAGTATTTTCGATGTAACGGTCATCGTACAGTGGCGCAGTAAAGTAATACTTAGTTAAAAAACTTGATACGTCGAATCTTATCTATAACATGCTAAAGATATCATGAAATTTCCGACTGTATCTGTTCTCTTGCATACCATAGATCTGTTCCCGTTTTCTGGGAGTATTCTTTAACGTTATACATTATTTGTAGATTATATTTTGCAATAGTAAGGTACTCGGATAGAGCTCTTCTAAATCGAAAAATAAAAAAATTCTGGGATGACATTATTAAAGAATGTATCCATCATAAGACTGTATAGGTATACTATTGACGAACTACTTCGGAAAAGCCTGAAACTTCGGGAAATTTGGTTTTGATTTTCTTATAACGCCGAATAATAAATAAAATTATCGCACCGCAGATTATTAGTGCTAAACCAAGTCCTACAGACAACCCTATTATCGCTCTAGCCGGATTTCCTTGATTGATGTTTACTGTCGAACTAATAGTCGGACTAGTAGATGAAGTAGGTATCAAAGGAGAAGTAGTAGAATTCGGTTGGAACATATAAATCTCTTCCATGGAATCAATGCCCCACAAATTATTATCGATAGAAATTGCGACATTTTCAAGTTTAATATCCTTATATTGGAGCCATTGACCATCTTTATATTGAAGAACATTATTATTGATATCAATACCGACAACCGAGGATTCACTGCTAGTATATATTTGTTTAAGCTTTCCACCAATTTGAATCCTATTATATTAAGATTAAAGTGATTAAAATATAAGAAATAGATGATAAAAAAAAAGGATGTACTAACCAGTCTTTGCCATTCCATCTAAAAATATCCCTATTTCTGCTAACTCCCCATACAGTTCCATCAGAAGCTACGGATACATTGATCAATAGACCTGGAACTAAAGGATAATTTTTTCTTAGAATGTAAGGTGTAAAAAATAGAAGAATGTGCAAAAATTTCGCATAATTTTACTAACCTTGGACCCATGTACCGTTTAAAATATCACCATTAGTTCGATAAAAAATATTATCTGCACGATTAACACCCCAAACTTGAGATTTGTCACCAACTGTAAAGTTAAGTTAATTAAGTTAAAAAATGAATGTGAAGAGACAATTAATCCTAAAACTGCCGCTTGTAGATTACCTGATATCTGGACTAGGGCTCCAGGAACATTAGTCCTATTAAAATTTAAATGTGTAGTAAATTAAAGATTTAAACCTAGTTGTAGAAAAAATAATAAGAAAGACCATCACTTACCATCCTATGCCATTCCACGCATAGATCTGGTCAAACCGGTTGACAACCCAAACAGTACCATCGGCACCTACACCAACATTTACGGCTAAGCCTTCTATATTGCGCCAAGTTTGTCCTGTGTATTGGAAAATCTATGGGTAACATTGATCGATGAAACATATCTAATTTAATGGAAAAAGTTGAAAAAGGAAAATATTTTACCTCATCCTTGAAATTTATACCCCATACATTATTATCACGACCAACGGCAAGTTGGGTAAGAGTACCGTCTATTTTTTTCCAGCTCATAATATGAATTTACTAGTCCGCAACCGTAATATTTAATAATCGTACTATCAATCTGCAAATCGTACTATTTAATAATGTCAAGAAAAAAAAATAATGATTTCTTATATAGTAAAAATTTACTTATTATAGGTTTTTTTTTGACAAACAGGCAAAAAAATTTAAATTTTTGTTTGTTTTATATTTAATTTATGAAACAAGAGTTGAGTTACACGCTTATTAGGCATTTGGCAAATAATTTAATGAATAAACCTGGAAAAGGCAACGGATTGTTTAAAAGATTTACCCTTTAAAGGTTCATTTTGCATAGCATAAGTATCATGTAATTACACATTGTCGCCCGACAAGATAAAACGATAATTAAATAGACAATCTTTTACATGGAAGACTTAAAATATCAATATGGAGATATTTTCAAGAGTTGTAATCAATAGTCAATATAATAATTACCAAAATTAATACTAGTTATTGGGCAGAAAAAATCGAAGTTAAAGTTTTTTCAGTTTCCAGCAGTTGACAGACGTGAGACGTGTCGCTGCTAAACGTAAATGGTCTCTGGATCTTCATGATTGCCGATCTATTCGAAAAAATCTGCATGGATTAAAAAAATTAGGAACAAGACAACTTGCGAGTTATATGCAGGTATTGAATTTTTTACTATGAGGGAGATTTTAATAAGCCTAGATATAAATAGGAAACTAATTTCCTGATGACATGTTCATTATTTTTTTTTTTGTGTATGATATCTGCTGTGTACTGGAACGACTCCTCAAAATAAGAGAAGTATATTTAGTAAACTTGCAACTATTGATTTGTCAACGAATTTATTAAGACTTAAACCAAAATAGATAATATTTAATATACCGTATACTGTATCACGGGCCATAATACCCCTACGTATAGTACCCTCAAAAAAGAAGTCACATTCTTCATTGATTTTATTATTTAAATAATCCAACAAACATCGTAGATGTGACGTGTAACAATACCTAATTATTTTATAAGTTTTAAACACGCTCAATTAGTAGTAAAAATTAATAATAATGGGGTACAGGGCCAAACCTCCGAAATTTGCCCGTAATATACTGTAAATCTGTACTAAAAGAAAGATGAAAAATTTGGATATATGCATATATATCATCGTTCAAAGAACTTTTATGATTTTATTTTAAGAAGACTGATGCTTTGACATTGTTATGAAATTTTTATGCAATATTAGAAGCAAGTTAGGTATAAACTATTTATGAATGTATAAACTAAAGAAAAAATATGAATTTTTTGCTTTCATCTTCAATTTCAAATCAGGCGTTATACAGTATTTATTTATTGCTGTAAAATATTTATTAATGTGCAATTCTGCTTTTACTTATGCTCAAATTAATTTTTTCTTATTTTTTAATATCAAATTAAAATTTTCATAAAGAATCACTAATCAAAAATAATGTAATCATACATGACGTCTCTTTTTAATTTTGAGCCGTTTATCTTTATTCAGACCATAAACTTGATAACATTTCCGCACGTGATTCAAATATCAATGCTAATTTCACGGTATTCTTACAGTCTTACCTAATACAGTCAAATCTCAATGTACCGAACGTGGTTCAGGATTAAAAGTTCAGTACATAGATGATGTTCGGTATATCAAATTTTCTTTATATACCGAACTCGATAAGCGAGCAATAAAAAAGTTCAGTACATCAAATATCACGTGATTTTCACATAGCGTAAAAAATATAAAATGTTAAATGTTTATAATGTTAGAAAAAAATTTGTCACACCCGTTTGTTCACATATGCTATACGCGATCTATTAAATGCTTAACCAACCATCTAATACCGATTGAACTCTACTATTTTTATCAAAAAGAACAATGTGTTTTTTAAGATCATGTGATAAATTTCTGTTATTGAGTTCTATAATAAAATTATCAGGTGGATTATCAAGAAAAGATAATACTTTGTCTAATGATGCTAATGCTTCTGAAACAGACATTTTTGATTGCAAAATTATTTCTTCTTCTGCAAGATCCATTTCATTTGATTTTACAATATTTACAATTTCTTCATCTGTAATTTCTTTTTCTTCATAATTATTATCATCATCAATTAAGATAAACTCTTCAGCATTCATCAAATCACCAAAATTAAAATTATTATATTGATCTAATAATTTTTGAACTTCTTCTATTTCATTTAGATTTTCATTATCATCATTTTGCTCTTTACTTAAAGGTGAAGCCAGGTGAAGTAATAGCAGAAGGCAATACAAAATTTCAGTTTTTGTCTAACAATTACTAATAGTTTTATTTGTTACAGCTTTCCAAGCTTCAGCATAAAGTGAGATAGCATCACTTATTTTCAATTTAGAAACTGGTATATTTAATTCAGTCCATTTCATCATCATAAGGCTTAATTCTATTTTTTATAAATCTTAAGTGATATTGCACCTAATATTAATAGTTAGTTAATTAGAAATTAGAATCCATGTTATTAATTGTATAATCAAATTAAATAATGCATAAACCTTAAACAAATTAATAATATTAGTAGTATCAGCAGGTTGCAAAATGTGCTGTAGTATTGGATGGCAAATAATAAATTGTAATATTTGTTAGTAACTCTAGACTAATGAACTAGAGCATTATTTACTAAAAGAAGAATCTTTTTATTTTATCTTTTTATTCTTTGATTTAAGAGTTCCAAATACTTATTCTAAATAGATGTTTACATCCAAGCACTTTTATTTCAAAAATAATCAACTGGAAGCTTTAATTTATTAATTCCAATTAAATCTTTTAGTGTTTAATATTTGTGAATAAAAAGTACAGGAAGTTTAATTGAACTAGTTGCATTAAACATGAATAAGAGTATGACTCTATTTTTTGATTTTTTTTGTTTCAGAAAGAGAACCAGTAGATAATGTTTTAGAAGATTCTAATTCTCAATACAATTTTAAAAAAAGTATAAGACTAGTTTTCTCCCCATGTGATTTAACCCAGGTGACATCACTTATGTAAAATTAAATCATGTGAATCTGGTAAATTTGCTAACGTATATTACATCACTCAATTTAGATTAGTTAAGGTTAGGGTTAGGGTTAGGGTTAGGGTTAGGATTAGGGTTAGGGATTAGGATTAGGGAATTAGGATTAGGGTTAGGGGATTAGGGTTAGTAAGGTTTGGGTTCGTTGGAGTTGTTAAATTTGATGATGTCATTTTCTGATTATAAATCAGATCAATTTGTAATAAGCTCAATAAAATAAACTCTCTCTTATTTTCCCACATATTTTTCTTTTTTTTAAACGCGTTATTTGTTATTGTTTGCTATACTAAACCACAATTAATTTTTATTAATTTTCTTTGNTCCAAGTCACCAAAGGTCAGCATTCCTACAAAAAAAGAAAGAGAACTCCAGAATGTCTGACCTATATAAATGAAAAGAATTATGAAGCATCTGATGAAAAAGAAACCAAAACAACAAAATAAATCCAAAACTGACCTACAAAAAAAGAAGACTCTGAAGCAACAAAACTGAAACAACCTACAAAAAGAAAAGAATCTGAACCCAACTTAAAAAAGAAAATTTGAACTGACCTAAAAAAAGAAAAAAATCCTGAACAATCCTACAAAAAGGAAAGGACTTCCAAACTGATCTACAAAAAAGAAAAAAGAAACTGAGTCTTCTCACAAAAAAAAATCTGCTGGCCTATGAAATAAAAAAAGAGATAAATATAAATAAAAAAGAAAGGGGAATAAAGAATAGTATAAGACTAGTTTTCTCCCCATGTGATTTAACCCAGGTGACATCACCTATGTAAAATTAAATCATGTGAATCTGGTAAATTTGCTAACGTATATTACATCACTCGATTTAGATTAGTTAGGGTTAGGGTTAGGGTTAGGGTTAGGGTTAGGATTAGGGTTAGGGATTAGGATTAGGGGATTAGGATTAGGGGATTAGGATTAGGGGATTAGGATTAGGGGATTAGGATTAGGGTTAGGGGATTAGGGTTAGTAAGGTTTGGGTTCGTTGGAGTTGTTAAATTTGATGATGCCATTTTCTGATTATAAATCAGATCAATTTGTAATAAGCTCAATAAAATAAACTTTCTCTTATTTTCCCACATATTTTTCTTTTTTTTAAACGCGTTATTTGTTATTGTTTGCTATACTAAACCACAATTAATTTTTATTAATTTTCTTTGAAGGTTATTTGAACCTTGTTTATCTTTGATATCGTGTGATTGTTATCATCATTTTAAAAAAATTCTTATTTTCGTGCTGCTCGTGTCTTGACTTTAAAAGCTGATTTATCTGCTCTAAATCTCTAATATGGAATTCTGTTTTGATTATAATTATTGTGAAAATAATTGTTCTGATTTTTCTAATACTTCTGTACGCCACTCTTCTGATCTTCGTGAAAGTGGAACAGATTGTGATGTGGAAACCTATGAGGAAGTTGATACTACTTCTAATAATAATGTTTGTATTTGTGATAACCTAATTGAAATTGAACAGAGTGATAGTGATAATGACATTATGGAGAAAGGAGATGGATTAGAATTGAAAGCAGGAATGATATTTGAGACCTGGGCAAAAGCTGAATCTTACCTTGATGATTATGCGAAACAACAAGGCTTCTGTCTTCGCAAAAAGAGACGTATACCTGATCAACATGATAATAATATTACAAGAAGGAGAACATTTGAATGTTCCCATGCTAATGTACATGAATCTGAAAAGGTTGTTTTAGCTGAGAATAGGCAAGATAGAGATTCAGAAATGATTGGTTGTACCTGGCATACAAATTTAGCATTTCCTAAAAAAGAAAAAGGTGTTCGTATTAACAGTGTTATTGGAGAACACAATCATTCAATGAATCCTCTTGTTGGTGAAATAGCTCCAAAATTTTGAAAACTTTACAGAAGAGATGCTTGAAAAGATTAAATTTTGGACGATTCATGGTAAAATGGGTATACCAAGCCAATATAACCTGCTTGTTGCTTCTTTTCCAAACAAAACTATTAATAAAAAAGATCTAAGCAACGCTATTCAAAAATTTAAATTGCAAATGACACCTTCTAGAAATGATGCATGTCAGGTCCTTAATAATCTGTATTTAGAAAAAGAAAAAAATCCATTATGGTTAGTAAAGCCACGCTTTGATACAGATGAAAGAAGACTTAATTCTCTCTTTTGGATATCACCTGAACAGATCCGCTTCTATAAAAGATATCAAGATGTTGTTATCATTGATTCAACATCACAAACCAACCAATTTGATATGATATTGTTGTTAATTACTGTTGTTGACAATAATTTTAGGAATTTGATAGTAGGTGCTGCAATTATAGAGGATGAAACAGAAGCAACATTTTCTTGGATTTTGCAAGAGTTGCGAGATGCTTGCAATGTTACACCAATAGTGTTATACTCTGATGCTGATCCAGCTTTAATATCTGCTGTTAGAAGTAATTATCAGGATACACAGCACCTACTTTGTATTTTTCATATTGACTTGAATTTAAGAAAAAAGCTTAAAGGAAAATTAAGAGATAGTTTTAAATCCTTTCACTCTGAATTTTTGACTGTTCGAAATTCCTTATATCATAGACAGTTTGAGATTAAATGGAATGAATTTCTTAACAAATATCCTATTTGTCAACCATATCTCACTCGTGTTTTATATTCTTGCAAAACTAGTTGGGCATGTTATGCTATTAATCGAAACTTTACTGCAGGTGTTCAAAGTTCTCAACGTGCTGAAGTTTCTAATAAGATCATTAAGGAAAAACTTTCTCGTGCTTCCCATTTAAGTGATGTTGTTAAAGAAGTTCAAGCTGCATTTGATAATCAATCAAAAAGAGCAACAATAACTGAATTTAAAAATGAAATCCCAACAAAAGGCTTACCAACTATATTAAATGAATATTTTCCAAACCTAAATGAGTTGTTACAAGACTTTCTTACACCACAAATTCTTCAAAAGCAACGAGACCAGATATCTCAATCACTCTGCTATGATGTGACGTTAGTTACTGATTGGCTACCATTATTAGAGGTAAAAACAATCAACTTTTAAGAAAGTAAATGAAATTGTTAATTAAAACTTACATTTTTATTTCATTTTATAGGTGAGAGATGATTTTTATCATGAAAGATTAGGTAGAGAGGATGAGTACGATCAGCCGCAATCTTTATTTGCTTTTTTGCTAGAAAATATACCTCAAAGTAGCATTATGGAAGTTTGGAAGGTAATAAGACATCGTGGTCAACAATTATCCTCACAATATGTAATTCTACTTGACGATGGTTCTCATTTGTGTACTTGCTTATGGCTTATTAATCGTGGAATTGTATGCAGACATTTTTTTCGCGTAATGTCCTATTCAGCCCATGCTCATTTTCATATTACACTAATTCCACGACGCTGGTATAATGATAAGAAGTTTATTCTTAACCAAGATCATGCTTCAATACCATCATATCAAATTGGAAAAGTTGAATCAGATATATCAGAACAGACTCCATTACAGTCAATATCATTCTCACATCTTGAAAGAATTAGGAAAATGCCTGATATTATGCAAATGCAAGGTCAGAAACAAAAATATGGATTTGGCATGGGTTATGCTAAAAAGGCACTTGATTATGCAGTTCGTGCAGATAAAGTAGAAGAATTTGTCACTCAATTGAAAGTTTTTATTGAAGAAACAAAAGAGGATCTTTCTGATCAACAAGATAGCGTTGAAAACATGGTAATTGGTGATCCGTTACGCACACAACATAAAGGACGTCAGCCAAATCGTTATAAATCAGGTGGTGAAGTTACAAAAAAATCACAAAAAAGGAAATTGCAAGCAATGCAAGATGTTACGAATACTATAGAACAAGGCTCAAGTGTTCAAAAACGTTCAAGGCTTTGTCAAAAATGTAAACAACCCGGTCATTATGCAACTCGATGTCCTAACTTATAATCTAAAATTTATTACAAATCTTTTTAAAGAAATAAAACTTACTCAAATATATAACGGAAACTTTGAAAAATAAATTCTTTATTTGTAATTTACATGAAATAAAAATTGCTTGCAAAATTCAAAAATTAAAAAGTGAAATTTACAGTTATAAATTTTAATTTTTAGTACAGGTGACATCACCTAGGTGACATCTCCCGGAGAGAAAGTTAGCAAAATTCTTAAAAAAATACAATAATTAATAAATTTAATAATATTATTATTTAACTATAAAATCTAAATTAGTTAAAATAACAAGATTCTAAATGATTATTTGTTTTTGTCATTACAATTAAAAATATTTTCAAGATCAAAATTACTAATTAACACAGGTCGAAATTAGTTAAATAGGGTATCAATAGGTTATCAATAGGTTATCAATCGGCTATCAATAGGCTACCCTATTGGTAGCCTATTGAACTTGCGCCATAATCCGTCACCAATCGGGCAGGCTGATTGATAACCTATTGATAACCTATTAATACCTTATTGATAACCAATTTGATAAAAATACCAATAGGATACTAATAGGTTATCAATAAGTTATTAATTGGCTAACAATCAGCCTGCCCGATTGGTGACGAATAATGGCGAAAGTTCAATAGGCTACCAATAGGGTAGCCTATTGATAGCCGATTGATAACCTATTGATAACCTATTGATACCCTATTTAACTAATTTCGACCTGTGTAATTCTTGTAATTTTTTTCTTTTTTTTTTGTTAATTCTTTTTCACTTGGTCTACTTTAAACTTCTTCATATTTATTATATTGCTTAATATTATCTCTTTTTTTAAAATTATTTAACCAACCAATTGATTCAATAAAGCTTTTAATATTTATCAATTTTGCAAAATCAAAAGCTTTAGTAGCAATGATTTTTCCTGTTATAGTTCTATTAGCAAACAAAGCATTTGAAATCCAAATTGCTAAAGTTTCTTCTGATTCAGGAAATTTTAGTAATTTTTCTTTTTGTTTAATTATATTAAAACTATTAAATTCAATATTTAACCATTTTCTTTGTTTTTTAAAATATTACAAATAGTATTTTTTTTATGCCAATTTTTTTTTCTATTTCTTTTTGTAATAATAATGAACTTTTAAGATGAAGCAAATATAACTCTTTTTTTTCTCCAAAGATTAAAACCTTTTTTCTTTTTAATATTACTTCATTATTTACATTTTTCTTTACTAAAAATGGCCAATTTGTTGAAATATTTTTATAAACCTAGATACAATGGCTTTTATAAAATTTTTAAAATATATCAAAATATATCTAAAGTATTTTTGAAATTAAAATATTTTTTTTTTTTAAAAAAAAAAAAATTTCAGTTTATTAATTATGACACTTGAAACTATACAATATAGGTGAATTACATCACAAAATATATAGTAAATAAATCAAACACTCCTGCAGTACAATGAGAATGTATTAATAAATTCAATGCAAATGTACCTTTGAACCAAAAGGAAAAGATGCAGGAAAAAATAAAACAAAAAAAAAGAATTCCATATACAAAAACAAAAACAAAAAACAAATATGTAAAAATAAGGAAACAGTCAGTAACGAAGCCATCTTACTACAACTACACTCTTAAAACTAAGATTATCAAACCATTTTTTCAAATTTATATCAAGACGCTTTTAGCTTTCTAAATATCGACTTTATTTTTACTAATATCGTAAACTTATCAATACCGCCTAAGATCTTATCAATATTTTTGATTTTCTTAGCCACCTTCTTCTTCTTATTCAACTGAGTGTTAGTATTAGTTATTTTGAACTTTGGAATCATTTTCTTGATTCACCTTTTGAGGATGCTTCCTTCTTTGCTTCAAGTTAAGGGTAAAATACCTTATTCAATTACCAATAAATTCGTCTAAGCTAAATGGCTTACCAATAACTTTCTTCAAGTCAGCTCATGATTAGTAGCTTGCAAGTATTCTGATTTTGAATTAATTTAAATGCTTTGCACTCTAAAGATGTGAGAATAGAGTGAGTCAAGTTATTCAGGTATAAAATTGCTATAGTTACTAAAGCAGAAACTTCTTTGAATACAGCCTAAAATCACTCCCGTTCTTTTATTTGCTTGAGATTATCCCAGTTAACCAGAAACTATCTTACAGGCAAACCTCTAAGAGGAGCAGTCCATACTTCATCATTTCAAAGTCTTGTAGCATTTTGGTTGAGTTCAATTGATACTATAACAGTAATATATTTCTGTTGAGATTTAAATTTAATTGCAACTACATCGGTAAATTTTTTAGGATGCAGAACTGCGGCAATTTGCAATCCATTTCCTGCATAATACATTACCCATTGCCAATATAATTTATCTTTTTTTTATACCTGCTTCAATTTTGTCTAACTGATTCTTTACCTTTTTTTGTTAATTTGATTACAATCATCCTTCCATATAATCACACCCTTCGGGACTAAGGTTGCTTGCCGAAACCTAAGGGTTTAGGCAAGATGGTGTTTCACCGAAAAGTGAAATTCTGCCGAAACTATATTAAAGTTATATTAAAAAACTGGCGAAACTTTGGAGAAAAGCAAAATTGCTGAAACTTATTATAAATGCTGAAACTGCTAAAACTCTGCCAAAACTATAATAAATCTATAGTAAAATTTTGACAAAACTAATCGTAGGATTTTGAAGAGGTTTAGACTAGCAACCTTATTCGGGACCATAAAAAAATGGTGTGACTATAATCTATAAAAATTATATATGATGTAATTAAAGGGAAGGTTTTTTTAATAAGTTTATTAGTAACTTGAGATTAATGTAAATGTGCTTATAAGGGAGTTGTGATTATACAGGAAGTGACTATATGGAAAGACGACTGTATATCATCAATTTGATTTGTTGACTTTATTTGACCAGTTTTTGTTCTCCAATTAATGAAGTCAACAGTTTTCCTTAATACATTTAACTAAAATAAGTTTTCTTTAATTAATTCAGGGGTTTTTTTTCAGCTCTAACTTTTTAAATGAATATTTTAAACAAAAATAATTTTTAAGATAATATTTTGCAACACAACCAAATGGAACACTAACAGAATTTTCAGCAGTATTATACTGAATAAAATTTTCAAAGCTATTACTATTCATAATATAAAAATTAAAAATAGGAAATACTGTATACAGCTTGACCTCAATATAACAAACCCATGATATAATGAACTCTTGACTTACTGAACTTTTTTTTAAAAACCGGGTTCATATTATTTAAAAAAATCTCGATATACCAAATTTCATATAAACTTGATGTAACATATACCGGATTTTTATAATTTACTATTTATAATAAAGCATATAAAAAAAATTCTTTATATACCAAACTTGATTATATGGTTGAAATTTCACATAATTTATACTGTTAAATTTTAATTTCTGGCCACAATTAATATTCTTTAATCATATGACAACTTTATATACTGAACTGCTACTGTAAAACTTATGGAGTTCAGTACGCAAAAAAAATTTACATACCGAATTTCTACTATATACCGAACTTTTGCCCTTAAACCATGAGTTCGTTATATTAAGGTTTGACTGTATAGTATACAAATTACAAAGTAGTAAATAAAGTGAATGAACATTATTATAACGCGTTAGCAAATTACAAATGAACAAACGTCATCACATAACTAATTATCACATTTCAGGTCAAAAAAATATAATTTTGTCATACATAAACTTGCATAGCATGAGGAGATAATTTTTGCCAAAATAAACCTAAATAAACAGTCATACAGCAGTCTGTACAACATCAATTTTTTACTCTTGCCGGATCTCATACAACATACTTTGAACCAATAAAATTTCGCAAGCTTTCCCTTTCCATATAGATGGAATACTCTGGTTGGTGACCTCAAGAAGGTTATAAAGACGGAAAAGGCACCAGAGTTCGACCATTTTCCCGCAGACAAGCTCAAGTTATGGAAGGTCGAAATTAGTGGCGATTACCTTGACGATCAGTTAAAGAATCTCAATGACAGTGACGAGCTTCCAAGCCATAAGAAAAATTTCGAAGTACTTCCTTGACCCACCAGCCGAGGAACATATTCACGTCCTAGTCGAACCACCCGTGTCAACTACTGCTTCGAACAAGGTATTGGAATTAAGGGAGAAACTCGCTTCGTTGCAGGTTACTCAACAAGTCTGTCCATTGTACGTATTTTGCGTGACGGGCCGTCACGGAAATCTTCAGGTTATGGAATGAGATAATACCTCACCTCCAACTACTACTCGAACTTTACTAACCAGGTTGTTGCATTACAGAGTTTGATGTCGTCGTTAGTCCGAAACGGACGAAGGGTTTGTGAATATCGAACATGCAACTCTTGAAGGTCTCAAAACTCCATACGTGGGATGTCCCCAACACCCAGCACTCGAGAATGATGGTGCAGTATTTAACATGTTAAATGACAGTGGAAAATACTTTCCTCATAACGATCAAGACCTGCGTGATATTCTTCAGATGTTCGTGTCAAAAAATAATCTTAAGTTCACCGTGTTCATTGAGACTCCCTCGAAAGCTTTTTCGGATTGGACTCTCAGTTCGGTTTACCAGCTTTACGGTCTTGGCGGCGAATCAGAAGAACCATCAATGACATCCTTCCCTGTTTTTTCGTGCGGAAACGTTAAGCCATCCCAGGAATCGTTAGGACTCATGGCAGAGTTAAAATCAATAACCCCCATCAATTTACTTTCAATCGAAGCCACGAAGTCATTATACGTCTATTCTTACCTGCTCGCTGGGGCGAACAATTTCAAGGGGAAGTTTTACATCCGCCCTCAAAAAGTTATTTCTGGACCGAACGGGCATGGACCTCTCGACTTTGCAATTGACCTGCGCTGAACAGCAAAGACTGTTGGAGTCACAGAAGTTAAGAAAGATGATTTTGTGAAAGGCGTTGCTCAATGCGCAGTCCAGCTCGAGTCCTCCCCATCGATCGCAAGCGCAAGGCTAATAGGTTCAGACGTTCTTTGATAGTTGCTGATGCCGAAAAATTCTATTTCATGGAATGTACGATGGATGATCAAGATAGGCCAAGCTTCAAACTATCGGAACCAGTGGTCGTTGTATATAACAATGTGAATATGGAAAACATTGTTAGAGAAGTTCTCAGTCACATTGTTGGAAGAAGCACAGAAGCCGGATTCAGATTCTCGCAGTGAAGAGGGCAATAAAAAAGCCTAGGTCATCGGGCAATCTTAAGGAAAAATCAGATACTGTCGTTAAGTCTTAGGATAGAAAATTAGTCATATATCACGGGCAAAGTCCTGAGCATTTGTATTTATTTTACTTCGTACTTCTATCACCTGTATAATGGGATGCGTCCCGAACCATTGTATTTATTTTCTACCCTTCTGCCTGTATTAATAAAAATTTTCTCGGCATTTTTCCTTCCGGAAATTCTTTGAACATTGAACAATTCCTTACATATATTAACTGAGTAAATATTTACACAAATAATTTTAACGGTCGATAAACATGTCCCATATTAATCGACTGTAAGTTTTCAGCCTTCCTTATCAGAGAATGTGTTCATTTCCCCTCACCTGCTCACGAACCATAAAATATAGCATTTTTCAAAAATTTTGATAGGAAAATAGGTAGAAGGGTCTGGATTAGGAGGCTCTCGAGTGGAAAGTGGATGGGAGAATTTATAGGCGAAGCAATAGAAAGGACATGTTCGTTGATCGTTAAATTAAATTTGCAGTTAAATGTTCATGTTTTTAATATTATAAATATTTTGTTATTACAAATATACATATGCATAAACTAATTGGATATTAGCGAATCACACAACATTGTGTTCTAAAATGACAAAGATAGATATTGTACAATTATAGTATAATTGACGTTAAAAGCGAAATTACATAAAAGAAATTATTTACACATTCTGCTTGACCCGAAGAAAAAAATTTTTCATTGAGTAGAATGAAATTCGAATGCCTAGCAAAAGTGCTAGTGCTTTTTTTTCTTCTTTTTTCCCTTATTCTTTCCCTTCTTTATTCCTTTTTTTTCGTTTTTTTTTACTGGATTAGGTGACTCTTTAGTTACAATATCGTCAATATCGATAATCTTGATTGAATCTGCTAATTCTCTAGCTTTTTGTTTGATTTCATTCTTTGGTATAATTTCATGAGTGCACTCAACGACATAACAAATATTATCTTGGTGGAAAAGGTAGTTTACCAAAGCTTCTCTTAAATCACGTCCTAAATATGACATGGACCATTCTACACGAGACCACATATAGATAATACCAGCAGTGTCTTCTAACCAAAAGACATGATCATCATTACTTGCAAGGATTGGACGAACATTAGAAATACCATAAAGCTCAAAGAAATTATTAATTTCAAAATTCTCCAAGACATCGCCGCTTGTTTCATTAAAAGGATAAAAACTTTTTAATATATTAAGAAGTGAGGGAACATCGTGGGAGTATTGTGCTTCAAGATCGCAAGACAATACTTGCAAGGTGGCCTGTCTTTCTGATTTGTCGTATAAATCGAATGAAGTCGGATTGGTAAGTTTTGTTTCCAGTATGCTAGATGTGCCAACGGATTGTTCTCGGCACAATTGCCGAAATCCCAGCCCTCTATTTTCGGGATCACATTCTTTTCCTCGTCTCGTGGGAGGAGATGTTGGTGCTCCAGGTCGAAGTCTTGTCGAAACTTCACTAAACGTTGTTTGGATTGGATGTGACCTATTAGCGTCGCCCCGAATGAATAATTGATGATCTTCTGCCGTTCGGACTTCCACATCACATTGATCACTTGTGGAGTTCGATGAGATTTTGTCTCCAAAAGTACTACCCATTTCGCTAATTGTTTCTGGTGTTGAAAAAGAAAATTTATCTGTTCCTGAAGAAACCTCAAAGTTCTTGGAATTGGTTCGATGTTGATCGTGTAATACAGACAGAGAGCATCCCAAACTGTGCTCAGTGCAATAATCGACCCATCTAAAGTTATCTTCAAACAATTCGGGTCTCCTTTCGTTTGTGGAAAGATTTGTCTGTTGTATCTGGAGTGCCAAAAAATTTAAATGCGTATTTGCTTAAAAATGGCATAAATATATGTACTATACCTGTAAGGTCCCAGGAACTCGTCGTATAATTTCCTTGACAAATTTCCTCTTTCCAACAGGAGTTCCAAGTACGTCCATAACTATAAGTTTAGTCAGATTGTGTATTACTAAAAAAGCATAAAAGCAACAAATAAAACTAACTTCTTCACTAGTTCCAAAATCCTTTAAATAGATTTGTGGCATTGCTTGATTGCTTGGTAACTACTTCTTATAATGGGAATTATTGAATTATTAATACATTCCACGGATTTCCACCTCATTATATATCATATGCATATTGCATTATCCTTTATAAGGTATAGCAAAGTCTAAAAATAGATTTGGCTAATTAAAGAGAATTCACGCAACTTTTATATAAAAGTTTCTAAATATAGATTTCTAAATAATTACATCATAGTTACATCAATGTGCTTTTTTCGCACCAATCAGATCATCCAAGAAAAAAAGCACTTGGCACGTGACCATGTAAAATTTGTCACCGTACTGACCACGTGATAGTGCATAATTCCGCCACCAAAGTGCTTTTTTTTCTTGGGAACGCTAGGGTAGTTCTTTGTCAGGAAGGGATCTCAAGGACGCTATTAAGACGAAAAAAGTACTAGAGTTCGATAATTTTCCTGCAGATAAGCTCAAGCTATGGGAGAGAGAAATTCCTGACGATCGCGATCTCTTGAGTAATCTCTCACTCCAGGACTCCTTGCAACAAGAGAAATGAGACTACTGGGCTGGAAACTACCTAAGAAGTATATTCATGTCTTAATCAAACCGGCCGTGTCAACCGACACTTCAAGCGTGTACAAGAATTACTTGAGGAAGTCGCCTCGCTTCGTGCATTTCCGGTCAAAAATATATTCTAAATACGCACCATGGATGGACTTGTTGATTAAAGATTTTTTATTATGTCTGAGAAGTAGAAAAATTTCATAGTAAATTGTGGGGAACTAGAAAACCCGCGCCTTCATAACCTGAGATCAAGCAGATATGTTTTCCTATCTTTCTAGATTCTGATATATTATTTGTCAATACTTCTTCTTGCTCTGAAAAGGTCTGATCGCAAACATGGGGTAGTGGAAAAGATATTCAGATTCCAGAAAGTAAAAAACTTCTCCACTTTATTCGCGAATCATCATTTAACTAAGCTCTTCATTGTAGAGGTACAAATGGGCGGTTAATATCGAGCAAGAGACCTCAAAGAATACGCGGTATTCAACATATGGATGATGGAGGGAAATATTCACCCAGGAACAATGCTTCATTCCGAGAGATATTACGATCACTAGTTACAAAAAAGACCTGGTACCAGAGCCCTCAAGTTCACTGTAATCATTGGGACTCCCTCAAAATCATTCGACAATTGAACTTTCCCGAAAGTGTGTTGTAATCCCGACATTGACTTTTTTCATGTGGTTCTGCTGACCTAAGTAGCGATAAGTCCAAAACTGTGGTGGTTAATCTTCTAATGGCCGAACTGAACCTTAGTAAAAAGACGACCTCATTGCCATTAGCATATGAGGCGACGAAATCTAACTATTCACACTGTTACTTAGCAGCGGTGTATCATTATACGAGAATGATTTCAAAATCATACCTGAAAAAGCTTGTAGGGCAAGGAAACCTCGATTTGACGATAGAATGTAGTTCAACAGGCAGGATGGATAGCGGGATTAGTTGAGGTCATAAGATATGACTTTATACAGGGTTTTGCAAGCTACCGTGCAGATGGAATCAACCATAACATGTCGTAAGCGTAAAGCTGATGATGACATGGATAAAGTATGGGGATCGTAACTGATGCAGAAAAATGGTATTTTATGTAATGTACGCTTGAGAGAAAGCCCTCGTTTAAGTTATCGGAACCGGTGATTGTTGAGTACAATAATGAGAATATGCAAATCAAGGTGGAAAAGGTCCTCGGTCATATTGTATGGTTGTTGCGTAGAGGCCTATGGACGATTCACAAAGTGTTAAGCAATCGAGGGAGATAAAAAAGCATAGGTCATCGGGTAATCTTACACGAAACACGCACACAACGTTTATATGGCAAATAAATAGATTTTATTTTTCATAAAGTAATGCAAATGCAATAATGGCAGTTCCTTCCCGCTATACTTTACTAACTATTGCTAATTTCATTATTGATAATACTACTGCTATTACTCGCACTTTCCCCCTCTTTCTCGATCCATAGTGAGATTTTATCCATCATAGTCTTCCTTGGAATTCTTTGATGTCGATAGAAACTGGCCAATGTGACAGGACTAAGACCGATTTCCGCAGATAAGGCCGGGCAAAAAAATTTTTAGATTCTCGTGACATAAAATTTTAAAAATGACCCGGCCGGCCGGCATTTTTTTTTTATATACAGTATGTAAAATTGTACGCACATTAGCCAAAAACTTAAAATCACGTGATAAAATTTTTTTACTATAAAAAAAAATTTCCATTTTTCGAAAACTGACCTGACCGGATCACGAGAATCTAAATTTTTTTTTTGCCTGGCCTAATACGGTGTACATTTGTGAAGGAGAACACTTCTCTTTTTTTCTTCTCTGGTCAAAAATGGATCCAATGCATTTCATACTCATCACTGTACACGTATTGGCCTATGGTATGCACTAACACGTGAAAATAAACAGTGACGAATAAGGGTGTGACGAATATATTTTTACTTACCTCAGATACTTATGAAAAATGGAAACAAGGAAGTGTATGACGGATGTGACAAAAAACAGTCACGTGTTTTTATATTGTGACATTTTTGTAGGGTACGCTGTGGAAATCAGTAACCCTCGAAATTTTTAAGAAAAACTTGTAGTTAAAAAACTTGGTACGTCGAATCTTATCTATAACATGCTAAAGATATCATGAAATTTCCGACTGTATCTGTTCTCTTGCATACCATAGATCCGTTCCCATTTTCTGGGAGTTTTTTTCTTTAACATTATATTATTTGTGGATTATATTTTGCAATAGTAACGAGCTCTTCTAAATCGAAAAATAAAAAAATTCTGGGATGACATTATTAAAGAATGTATCCATAATAAGACTGTATAGGTATACTATTGGCGAACTACTTCGGAAAAGCCTGAAACTTCGGGAAATTTGGTTTTCTTATAACGCCGAATAATAAATAAAATTGTCGCACCGCAGATTATTAGTGCTAAACCAAGTCCCACAGACAACCCTATTATCGCTCCAGCCGGATATCCTGGATTGATGGTTACTGTCGAACTAGTAGTCGGACTAGTTGAAGTAGGCGTCAAAGGAGAAGTAGTAGAATTCGGTTGGAACATATAAATCTCTTCCATGGCTGTCTCTTATACAAATCTAGATGTGTATAAGAGATTCGGTTGGAACATATAAATCTCTTCCATGGAATCAATGCCCCACAAATTATTATCGATAGAAATTGCGACATTTTCAAGTATAATATCCTTATATTGGAGCCATTGACCATCTTTATATTGAAGAACATTATTATTGATACCAATACCAACAACTGAGGATTCGCTGCTAGTATATATTTGTTTAAGCTTCCCCCCAATTTGAATCCTATTATATTTAAGATTAAAGTGATTAAAATATAAGAAATAGATGATAAAAAAAAAGGATGTACTAACCAGTCTTTGCCATTCCATTTAAAAATATCTCTATTTCTGCTTACTCCCCATACAGTTCCATCAGAAGCTACGGATACATTGATCAATAGTCCTGGAACTAAAGGATAATTTTTTTCTTAGAATGTAAGGTGTAAAAAATAGAAGAACGTGCAAAAATTTCGCATAATTTTACTAACCTTGGACCCATGTACCGTTTAAAACATCACCATTAGTTCGATAAAAAACATTATCTGCACGATTAACACCCCAAACTTGAGATTTGTCACCAACTGTAAAATTAGATTAATTAAGTTAAAAAATGAATGTGTGAAGAGACAATTAATCCTAAAACTGCCGCTTGTAGATTACCTGATATCTGGACTAGGGCTCCAGGAACATTAGTCCTATTAAAATTTAAATGTGTAGTAAATTAAAGATTTAAACCGAGTTGTAGAAAAAAATAATAAGAAAGATCATCACTTACCATCCTATGCCATTCCACGCAAAGATCTGGTCAAACCGGTTGACAACCCAAACAGTTCCATCAGCTCCTACACCAACATTTACGGCTAAGCCTTCTATATTGCGCCAAGTTTGTCCTGTGTATTGGAAAATCTATGGGTAATATTGATCGATGAAACATATCTAATTTAATGGAAAAAGTTAAAAAAGGAAAATATTTTACCTCATCCTTGAAATTTATACCCCATACATTATTATCACGACCAACGGCAAGTTGGGTAAGAATACCGTCTATTTTTTTCCAACTCATAATATGAATTTACTAATCCACAACCGTACTATTTAATAATCGTACTATCAATCTGCAAATCGTACTATTTAATAATGTCAAGAAAAAAAAATGATGATTTCTTATATAGTGAAAATTTACTTATAATAGGTTCTTTTTTGGCAAACAGGTGTATTTGTTTTATAGATATTTTGTTACACTTAAAAAAATGGTTATGATTCTTTTATAAATTTAATTTATGAAACAAGAGTTGAGTTACACGCTTATTAGGCAAATATTTTAATCAATGAACCTGGAAAAGGCAACGGATTGCTTAAAAGATTTATTCATTTTGGCATAGCATATAATATCATGTAATTATACATTGTCGCCCGACAAGATAAAACGATAATTAAATAGACAATCTTTTACATGGAAGGAAGACTTAAAATATCAATATGGAGATATTTTCGAGAGTTGTAAACAATAGACAATATAATAACTACTAAAATTAATACTAGAAAAATCGAAGTTAAAGTTTTTTCAGTTTCCAACAGTTGACAGACGTGAGACGTGTCGCTGCTAAATGTAAATGGTCTCTAGATCTTCATGATTGCCGATCTGTTTGAAAAATCTGCATGGATTAAGGAACAGGACAACTTGCGAGTTACATGCAGGTAAGATTACTTTTGAATTTTTTACTATTAGGGAGATTTTAATAAGGCTAGACACAATAATCTCCTGATCGTATGACATGTTCATTGTTTTTTTTGCGTATGATATCTGCTGTGTACTACTGGAACGAAATAATGAGAAATATATTTAGTAAAATTGCAACTATTGATTTGTCCGGCAACGAATTTATTAAGACTTAAAACCAAATAGATAATATTTAATATATTACCCAGATGTGTGATGAACTGTTAAAGCTGTACTAAAAGAAAGATGAAAATTTGGATATATGTGTATATATAACCGTCGTTCAAAGAACTTTTATGATTTTGTTTTAAGAAGACTGATGCTTTGGCATTGTTATGAAATTTTTATGCAATATTAGAAGCAAGTTAGGTATAAACTATTTATGAATGTATAAACTAAAGAAAAATATGAATTTTTTGCTTTCATCTTCAATTCAAATCAGGCGTTATACAGTATTTACTTATTGCTGTAAAATATTTATTATGCTTTTATTTATGCTCAAATTAATTTTTTCTTATTTTTTAATATCAAATTAAAAAATTTCATAAAAAATCACTAATCAAAATAATGTAATCATACATGATGTCTCTTTTTAATTTTGAGCCGTTTATCTTTAGACTATAAACTTGATGTTGCCATGTCTTGATAACATTTCCTCACATGATTCAAATATCAATGCTAATTTCACTGTATTTTTATGGTCTTACCTAATAAACTACATGTACTGAATTCTACAAAAATTGAACTGAAAATTATTTCCTCAGATGTGAGGCGAAGTGGCTTATCATAATTGTGAATTCCTTTGTAGGTCTACCTATGTAATATCTTTTACTAATGAATTTTCAATAGATCCAAAATTTGTTCTCTTTATGGAACATAATTTTAGCATAGTTATAGATAGAAACAGAGGTAGATAACTAATATTACCTAGAATTAAAACCTTTCACAGTAATTACTGATTATGCCACTTTAAAATGGTTGAAAACTTTTAAACTTCTCAAAGGATGATGAGCAAGATGGATCATAAAATTCCAGCAGTATGATTTTATAATTCAACATTATGCTGGAAAGGCAAACTTGAATGTAGATGCATTATCTAAAAGAAGAAAAACCTTAAGTTTTTAATTGTTTTATATTAATATTGGCAGATACTAAACCATGAAAAAAGTCAGACAAACTAATTTAAATGGCAATTTAATTCCAGTATATAAAGGATATAATATAGATTTATGAAAATTAATCTGCTAAAAAGAATATCAAATTATTATCAATATGCAAGTATATACTAGGAAATGGGAACCGTTGAAGCGTCTGAAGTATTCAGTATAATTACATGATCATCAATAATTGTACATTTAATACTAAAAAAAATTGTAAGTTAGTGTGCATGTCCATTTTACATTGCCAACCATATTAAAATTTATTCATCTAAGATATCTCATTAAAAACTTTCATTTTAACTTCTAAGTTACAATATATAGTACTTTCTTTATTAAAATAAGTGAAAGTTTACTAACCCTTTCTGTTTAAAGTTTTACTTATTTATTTATTAAAGTTTTATTGATATCACAGAGTTACGTGTTTGTATATTATTTTTTAGCTATACAAAATCAATATTAATATATTTTAATATAATAAACACTTAACATATGATTAAATTTGTATATATATAACACAAAATTTTATTCGTCGATTAGGCTATAGTACAGAATGACATTGCATTCGAAATGCCTAGAAGTATATATCCTCATACTTCAGACAATTAATAATCTGAAAAAAGCAATTTTCAAATTAAATACTTTACCATTATATATAAATACTATTAGTCTATTAGGTTAGACCAATTAAAAAGTATTTAACATAATATATGAAATTAAAAAGATTAGAGTAAAAATAGCTTAAATAAAGATTTTTGATTGGCTAAAATATAAATAATATAATAATTCTTGAACAGTCATATAATTTTTTATGAACTCAACCTATTATTAATATTTGCTAATACTAGTATAGTAAAATCATCTGTGATATTGTGATAAGATTAAATATATAATATTAAAATTGTTATATATACAGTTAATTCTCTTTATAATCACACTTCTTAGGATTTTAAAAAAAAAGTAATTATAAAAAAAGTCATATATTGTAATTATAGAAAGCTTTTATTAAAAATTTTAAATGGTATTAAATTATTTTTTAATATCAATAAATGATAAATTGCTATAAAGTTTTTTTAAAAATTATTTTATTATTTATTAATATTAGAAAAATAATCATATGTGCCGATTTTTGGAATTAGTCTAAATTAAGATTTTTATAAAAATTTAATATTTTAGTAAGATTAACATTACACAAATCTAAATTAAATATGTGTTACATATTTACGTAACTCAGATTTAATAAAAAATAAAAAAAATTTTTTTAATCAATATTCAAAAATAACGGTAATAACCACTTCTTTTTCCCCATCACTCCC